CACAGGCAGAAGTCATTAGTGAGTGAGTCACAGGATAGTGAGTGAGTTTGGAAGTTAAATTTTAATTGAAATTTCTGGATCTTGATAAGGTCCATTGCTGAAGTTTTCAGAAATGCTACTAAGATGATCTTTTGAAGTCAAATAGCCTATAACATTTTGTTCAGGTAGTATGCATCACTTCCATACATTCTATGTGTGTTGTGAAAATAATATCTGTCTACTGTATAACATAGATTACTTCCAAACACAGTGTTACTATTACTTGAAACAACATATAACACCTAATATAGTGATGTGACCATACAATCTTGGGGATGAGGTAGATAGGTATTGGGCAGAAGAAATAGTATTTCTGATGTAAAGAACAAGATGCTTCTGCAAAAGCTATTGGGAGTTGAAGCAGTATTATCAGGCCAAGGAGCCAAAGATATAGATAGGGGAGAGAGGAGAAAACTAAGTCAGGTTTGCAAACTTAGCACTTTAACTGTCAGTGTTTGTGTCATTATCATTTAGGCAAGTGTGACCACAGGAAATAGCACTAATTTCAGAATCATGACAATATGTACTCACTTGGGTGATCTACTTCCGTAGTTATACTGCCTCAGAAACCCAAGAAGGGGTCACTGTGAGCCAGATCTGACTCCACGGCAGTGAGTTTGGTTTTGGTTTGAAAAGAAGGAAGGAGGGAAAGAGATCAAATACAAAGAAAAATAACATGAGGGTCATAAAATCTTGATTAGCTTATAAACACAATAGTCATATTTCAGATGAAATAGTTTTTTTTTTTTTTTTTTCCTGAAAGATTCTTCTAGTAGAATATATGTTACTGTCTGACACACGGTGACCCACTTTTTTTTTTTTTTTTTTTCCTGAAAGATTCTTCTAGTAGAATATATGTTACTGTCTGACACACGGTGACCCACTTGGGCAGAGTAGAACAAACCCCACAGGGTTTCCAAGGCTGTAATCTTAGAGGTGGCATACTTTGACAAATGGTACAAACAGTTAATATGCTTTGCTGCTAACCAAAATCTTGGTTGTTTGAGTTTACCCAGAGGCATCTTGGAAGGAAGACACGGTGATCTATTTTCAGAAAATCAACTGCTGTAAATTCCATGGAATACAGTTGTATTCTGACACACATGGTTTCGCCATGACTCGGGATCCACTCAGTGGTAACTCCAAAACCAAAAAACCAAACTCACTGCCATTGAGTCGGAGCCAACTCATAGTGACCCCTCCTTGGGTTTCTGAGGCAGTATCACTACGGAAGTAGATTGCCCAATCTTCTTTCTGAGGAGTGGCTGGTGAGTTTGAACTACCAGCCTTCTAGTTAGCAGTCAAATGCCTTAGGCACTACACCACCAGAGCTCCTCAATGGTAACTAGTATTTATAATTTATACTTCATTTGACTTATATGCGTGTAGAAAGAGAGAGAGAGAGAGACAGCGCTAGCAATATACACACATTCAAAAAGTAATACAGTGTGGTTTTTAATGTCCGCTTCCAGCTCTATTTCCTTAAAGAAATTCTGAGGAAATATATATAAAAGAATGAACATACCATGTAGTCTGACATCTCAGAGGTCTTGAACAGTTGCTACCACTCCTCACTCAAACTTGTTAGAAGCACACTGTTCCATTAAATTCAAGTCTATTCAAAATCACCGCCTTAGGGAAACCTTCCCTTATCATTTTTCCTAAACTGTGAGAGAATGAACTCCTGTTTGTTAAAGCCATTCCTTTTGGTATTTCTGTTATAAGAGCACTAGATAACCAAAAGAGGTGGTATGGTGTTTCTGACTAGTCATCATCTTAAGCTAGCTCCACAAATTAAATTTCTTGAAAACATATGTTGTTGTTGTTGTTGTTGTTGTTATGTGCTGTCGAGTTGGACCCGACTCATAGCAACCCCTTCTTGGGTTTCCGAGGCAGTATCACTACAGAAGTAGATTGCCCAACCTTCCTTCCGAGGAGTGGCTGGTGGGTTTGAACCGCCAGCCAGCCTTCTAGTTAGAAGTCAAGTGCCTTAAGCACTATGCTACCAAAGAAAACATAGGGCTATTCATAGTTTCGTTCCAACTTCTGCTAACTTTGGAAAGTTGTAGATTTCAATGAATTTTTCTATTTCATCTATGTTGTTGAATTTTGGGGGTTGTAAAGTTGTTAATAATATGAAAATTTTATCTTTTAATATCTATAGATTCTATGACTCTAACTCCTCTTGCATTATGTGTTATATCATGGAGCCTGAATTATATTTCTCTGAAGTATGTTGCTATTTTTTTTAAGTAGGTGATTAACTTGATTGGACTCAAACTTCAACCTCTGTCTCATGGGAAGCAGCTGAAATCACAATTCAGTTCTTTTTATTTTAGCTAGGCTATTGCAGTTTGCTTCCATGCTCAAAGTTCAAGGTGAGCCAGATACTTGCAAAGAATTTATATGTAGGATTTTGGGCACCTTCTCTTTGATGCTCTCCTTTCCATGACTATCCCTCACTATCTATGAGCTGTGGTTGCCTCAAACGCTATCTTTTGATTTTTCAGTGTTGGAGACTGCATGCTTTCTACTGGAGATTCAGCTGGCCCTGCAGGGCACTATGACTGTGGGCTGTCCTCAGGCTAAAAGTCAAACAGACAAACAAATAAAAAACAAAATAAAACAAAAATAGTTTACTATGTTCCAATTTCATTCTTTCCAGAATCTTCCAACCTTTTTCATTTGCTTAAAACTTCAGGTAGTTATTCAAAAATCTTGTCCTGAGTATTTGGCTATTATCTGCAGAAAGTTCACTCTATTAGGAATTTACCCATACCAGAAGGAAAATCCCATTCGTACACACTTTTAATAGCTATTCATTTCTTCTCCACACCCCATTACCAAAGCCACTCCTCTCCCTTTTTCTCTCTCTCTCCCATTCTCTTTCACACACACACACACACACACACACACACTTTTGGATTTCTTACAAAAGCAGCCAGATGTGGATGGCCTTTGACTAGACAGTCCCCCTAGTCTTAGTGTGTGTGTGTCTCTGCTTGATATCTGATTTGGGTGAGTATATACCAAATCCCATGTTTCCATACAGTATTAGCAGGCCTTTATCACTTGTAAAGAAGATATCTGACCCTTTATTGAAGCATTCAGAGCCTCTACTTTGGACACCTTGGGAGTTCCCCAAGAAACCACATTACCTGCTCTATCTCCTAGCATACCTTCTTTACTTCACAGTAAGAAACTATACTGAAAAAGCAAACAATTTGAGATCTATAATATTTTGATTTCTAAAAATATTTGACTACTCTCCCTTTCCCTGCAGTGAAACTGTCATTTTGCTCTGAAAGAGGGGCAGTGGGATGTGTCTAGGGTTAGCTGAGCGTCTATATAAAGGCTCCCAGCCTTGAAAAGAACATCCTGTTTCTGAGTCTGAGAACACTGAAACATTAATTACATAATTTAGAGTAGTGCTTTCTTCTACAATGTCTGAAGAAGTGACCTACGCAACACTCACATTTCAGAACTCTGCTGAAGCAGGAAATAACAGGAATCAAAATAATCGAAGAAAAAGAGGTAGGGGTTCAGAGGAAGCAGGATGTAACCTTGGGCAATGTGCAGGTGTTAAATGCAACTGATAATACTGGTGTTGATAATAATGCTAAAGGGAAGTGTGCTGTGTAATCTCCAAAATGGAGGCAGAAAGTTGTGGAATACAAAAGTAGAATGAGTGTTTCCAATATTTAGGGGAAAATGTGTGCCTTTCAGAGCCATCTCTAAATTGATATCATTATATTCCATGAAACTGTGTTTCATTGAAAACTTGTGATTAAACATGCCATAGATTGGGTTTGGGAACTATATGTAGACATTTATTTTTGTAAATGAGAGAGGAGTGGGTTTTGGGGACATGGAGAAGAAATGAATAGCTATTAAAATGTATATGAATGGGATTTTCCTTATGGCATGGTTATATTCCTAATAGAGTGAACCTTCTGCAATTGACAGCCAAATACTCAGGACAAGATTTTTTGAATAACTACCTGAAGTTTTAAGCAAATAAAAAAAAGTTGGAAGATTCTGGAGAGAATGAGATTGGCACATAGTAAACTATTTTTGTCTTTTGTTTATTTTTACAAATGTAGTCCCATATAATTTATGTAAGACATGCCATGGGAATATTTTTTAAAAACCAGATAGAAAGTTTCTGAAATAGAGATGGTAACAAGAATTTATATTTTAGGTACTATAAATTGTTTGAGATTACAAACTACAGGAGCTCTGGTAGCATAGTGCCTAAGGCACTTGATTGCTAACCAGAAGGCTGTGGTTCAAACCCACCAGCCACTCCTCGGAAGGGAGGTTGGGCAATCTACTTCTGTAGTGATACCACCTCAGAAACCCAAGGAGGGGTTGCTATGAGTCGGGGCTGACTCCACGGCACATAACAACAACAACAACATAAATTGTTGAGAGGAAAAAGTTAGAGATGAATGGGTCAGGAATGGACAACAGCTGGTTTCCTTTTTTTAAGTTATTATTTTTTTTTAGTGTAATTCAAATCCCCAGAATAATTTTTAAGGTTTAATCAATAGCAACAACTAATAGTTCTACAGTATTTTATATACATAATCTCTTATCTTTGCCAAAATATTAGCATAATATAAATAGAATAGTATTTTCTCCATTGTATAGATAAGAAAACTCAAACTGAAAGAGATTAAACAATTTACTCAAGTTCATACAACTGATATGTGGCAGAGGCAAGACTTAATTCTAGTCTTCAGTTCTGTCTCTTACACTCAAATGGAAAATATAGAAGTCTCCATGGTTAGGAATCTGATTTAATGTATAATGTATAAGACTGCATCTTTCACCTACAGAAGATCTACCACATTTCAGGATGTTGTCTTGAATCACTTAAAATATATGAATTTCATTTTCCTCTTTATATTTATTTCTAGTTGAGGTATGTGTATGGATGTGGTGAATTTGACTCTATACCAGGGATTTCATTAATCTATCTGTAACAGTGGGCTAGAAGCCATTAGGACATGGATCAAGGAATCAGAAGGTGAAGAAAATATGAGAACCTTTTGTAGAAAAAAAAAAAATAGGTAGAGTATGAAATTTTGAAGTTACATACTGGCTTTCTGATCTATTTTTGTTATTTTTGGGTTACCCACTGTCTTCAAGTTGATAGAGACCTCCACTGGATTTCCAAGGCTGTAAATCTTTAAGGAAGTAGATTGCCTCATCTTCCTCCCTATGGAGTAGCTGCTGGGTTTAAACCATTGACCTTCTGGTTAGCATCCAAATGCTTTACCTACTATGCCACCAGAGCTCCTTATCTTTGGGTTATACTGTAAATGTATTCATTCTTCCCTTCAGCATTTATTCATTATCTCCAAGATGGTAAATAGGGTAGATAATACATAAAAGTCCACAATAAGTCTATGAAAGTTTGTAATCTCAAAATACAAAACAAGCAAACAAACAAAAACACCTAACCCTGAGGTCTTTCTTTCCTGTTGTCAGTCACCTAGAGAAGCAGTTCCTATGTCTCACTCATGAGTTCAATTAACTTAAGGAAGGTGGGTGATGATGGGTAGGAAAAACTTAAAAATTAGGAGAAACTTATTCCTGAAGGAAAAGAGCGTGGTGGGGAAATGGAGAAGAACAGATGGAAATAAACTCTTATTATGTATCATTACTGGTATTTTCTAAATAAAAACATTGAAGAGGCAAGAGAGAAATTTTAATATCTAGAAGCTTCCGAAGAAGGAGAAATAAACAACCGAAAGTGTAATAGCTAAAGGACAATTCTGGTTGCTAATTCCTCTGTCTTTCTTCAGGGTATCCGGCTCCATCCTCCATATGGCGTAAGGTTGCCTTGAGTCTGCTAACTCTTTGCCTGATGCTTCTGATTGGGCTGGTGACCTTGGTGATAATGTGTAAGTATATTTGCATAAAACTCAAGAGAAGTGATTGGGAAACATATTTGTAAACAATGTTAATTCAGATTAAAAATATATTGTAGGTGCTAGAATCTTGAATCCTTTAATACTTTCTGCCTTCCTATGTACTCTCCATTCTCTAGGTCTCCAAGATAAATATAGGTCAGTTTCAATGGGGAGGAGCAGAGATTCTGCAAAGATGTGTTCCTGGAAGGACATTGCATTTAACTCTAATATTAGCACCAGATTCATTAAATCTGCTTAACCAAGACCTTTCTAGTGTAGAGAAAACATACAAATGGGAGCAAAGCCTGACTGCAATGAATGAGGAAAGAATGCAAATAAGGAGGAAGAATTACCTGATATACATCACTCGGTAGACACAGTAGAACTGTCTCCACATAACAATGGAAGCCCCATTCACCAGCACCATAGCCCAAAAAAGGAATATTTTCTTGAATCTGACCCATCACTGTGCAGTTGTGGATGGACCAGGTAGGGAGTTATGGACTAACAGTGAGTGAAAAAACATCCCGAGAATTCAGTTCTTAGAATACTCTTAAGCATACACTAAGGAGCTCTGGTAGCATAGTGCCTAAGGCACTTGACTGCTAACCAGAAGGCTGGTGGTTCAAACCCACCAGCCACTCCTCAGAAGGAAGATGGGGCAATCTACTTCCGTAGTGATGCTGCCTCAGAAACCCAAGGAGGGGTCGCTAAGAGTCGGGTCAAACTCGACGGCACATAACAACAACAACAAGAAGCAATTCACACAGTAGTAATTTGACACAGCACTCACTTTCAGGATATTTGCAGTCAAGAGAGTTTGTTTGCTGAATAAAAATGGTATGCCCTCTGATATATTTACCTTTTTTTTTCACTTTTTTCTCTATCTGTAAGTTCTCACAGGTAATTAGGATTTTGGCATGCCAATTTGAACAATGATTTAGAAGTCAGTAATGGAGCTTGGTCTTTTGAGAAAGAATATGATATTTTAAGAGCAGTAACAGATATTAAGTAGTCAAGAATTATGAAGCTTAGTAGTTGACCTTCTACATTGATGCATATATTTTTAAAAAATGAATGAAGATGGAATATATTTATTGGTTCACCATAGAAGTGTACTTCTCAAACTCCTTTTTTTTTTTTTTTCTTACATTTATAGTGCTGATAAATCACCTGAAGTGCTTATTAAAAATGCGCTTAAAAATGGAACCCGGACAAAAAAATGATCTGGCATTAAAATCTGCTTTTTTGTTGTTGTTGTTATTTTGTTTTTTAAATAGTGCCATTTTCCTAAAGATTCTGTTCCTATTAAAACAACAAAAATTATATCAACAAACCCTAAACAGAAAAAGCATTTTAATCAAAATGAACAGCAATCATGGCACTGCCTAAAATAAAACGTTAAAGATACAAAATAATTAATTCATTTTTTTTGACGTAAGTATGCTATTAATTCAATTATGAATGAAAGTATAAAGGTGAGATTTAAACAATTGGTAATAGAAAATTATCTGGTGTGTTTCCTCATTCAAGATAGCTCAATTCTTGGAAGTTATTAATAAATACTGAATAATATAAGAAATATTTTGGGGTCAAGAGAATTATCTATGATTATCATAAAAGTGTTTCCTATTATGTCTTGGAGATTTGCAGACATCTAATGAAATTAACTCAGATTTGGAAAAGTTCAGTCCACTTCAGAAAACTATCCACCAACAGCAGGATAACACATCCCAGCAGCTGAGCAACTACAAGAACTTCCACTTGGAGGAAGAATTTCTCAAATCACAGATCTCCAATCTATTGAAGAAGCAGGGGCAAATGGCCATCAAACTCTGCCAAGAGCTTATCATTCACAATTCAGGTAAGCAAACATAGACTTGCTGATGAGTCAAAAATAAACTGTTGCCCGCATTTCAGGAGACCATGTATGAGTATGAATGAGTTGTGATGAAACTTAATGACATCACACTGAATTTACAAAAGAGGAGGAAATACGTATTCTAGTTCATTTAACATTTTTGAAAAACACAGAGGGAAATTTGGAAAGGATGTTGGAATGATTCCCATCTGGATACTTTAGTTACTCATTTCATTGACTATTTGTACATGATTCTGGTGATTCTGAAGCCAGAGGACTAAGTCTTGAGACATGAATTTGGATCTCCATTGCCCTAACCCAGGGCATAGCCAGGGAATTTTCTGTGGTATGTTATCAGGATACTGACTCTAAGACTTTATTGCCCAATTAAAGAAATTAGCTTCAGGACTTTTGCCAGTTACTTTAGAATTATGGAGTTTATACTATTAGACATAATTTCTTTCTCAGACCACAAATGTAATCCTTGTCCTAAAATGTGGCAATGGCACCAAAACAACTGCTATTATTTTGCAACCAATGAAGAGAAAACCTGGATTGACAGTAGAAAGGACTGCATGGGCAAGAACTCTACTCTGATGAATATAGACAGCTTGGAAGAAAAGGTATGGTTGCATTTCCTTCTTTAGTTATAGAAATTATCCATATAATGAAAGGTAAATAAGTGGAATTTCTGATTCACATGGTAACAATTCAGTGCATTTAAAAATGAGAATTGATAAATGAACTTAATGAATGCTATTCCCATCTAGCTTGTCTCTGCAGAATGGAATGTGGCTCTCACAGAAATTCTATTTTCTCTGTCAGGATTTTCTGAAGTCACAGCCATTACCCAAGTATTCTTTCTTCTGGCTAGGATTATCATGGGACCCATCTCGCAAAATTTGGCTATGGGAGGATGGCTCTACTCCCTCTACATCCTTGTAAGTCTCTAACTGTTGGGAAAACCAAGTTTTCCAGGGACTCCCAAGAATATAAATGTTAATTATAAGAACTGATATAAATTTATATATGAAAAAAGACATATACACCTGCAATGGAAAGAAAGTTGCAAAGGATGCAACCTTCTTCTGTGTGAGAAACTCATGACAAGACATTGGAGCTAATCTATTAGTTTAAATATATTAATTTAGCAAACACATATAATGCTTTTTGTCAAATTTTTTAAAAATATTAATCTTATAGTGTAAGTACTATTATAATCTCACTTTGTAAGTGAGAAAATTGAGTCACTGAGAGATTAAATAACTTGCCTGAGTTGATTCAACTACTAAGTGGGAAAATCAGGGCTCTTTAGAAATGACACATTCCATCTCTTGTCTATTCTAGCTCTGCAGCACTTGGAGGCCACAAGTGAGGTGGTTGTTACAGGGATACATGTTACCTCATTTATTTAAATTGAAAAATTGTCAGCCATTTGCTAAGAGAAAGTAAGTCTGAATTGACTGAATATTTTAACAAGTAGTTTCATGATAAAGACTTACTAATTAGCTTATATGGCGAAGTTTTTCATAAAATAAAATGAGCTGTATTTGTCACTTAAAGGTTTAATGAAAATACTTAATCTACATATAAGAATAGATGATCAGATTTTTGCAACTATTGAAAGGTATGAAAAAAAAATTAGCTGTCTACTTAAAAAATGTGTAAGGGGCACATAAACCAAAAAAACCAAACTCATTGGCTTCAGGTCAATTCTGACCCTTATCGACCATCCTTGGGTTTCCGAGGCAGTAGATTGCTCAGTCTTCCTTCCAAGTAGTAGTTGGTGGGTTTGAACTACCAGCCTTCTGGTTAGTAGTCAAATGCTACCACAAAATTCTGCAAAGTTCAAAACAAAAGTTTTGAGGAGCATTATTTCTATATTCTCACTCTTAATTACAATCATAGTAAAGTAATAAAACCATATGCATAGATTGTATTAAAATCTAAGCTCATTGGCATTTTTCTGGGTGTAGTAGTTTTTCCTCCACTGCAAGCCCCAGCAAGAACTTCATTCACTCAACTCACTCCTGTTTCACTCTTTAATGAATGTTTTCATAGTTTTATTAAACTGAATTGTAATCACTCATTTTCTGTCAAGATACTGCACTCCAGCTGTGACTCACCAAATTCCTTGAATAACAAAAGATGATATGCTTTTGCTTTTCTCCCTGGCTACACTTTAACTTCATCCATTTTCTAAAGTTTTATCATGGTTATTTCTATTCAGACAAACATTAGTTTCCTTACTCTCAATTCACCACAGATAAACCTGCTAGTTTTGTTTCACACATATAAAAATGGCAAAAAAAAAA